CGAGGCCCGGGCAGGCGCGGGGGGAAGGAGCCAGCGGGTCACTCCGCCGAAGGAGCCGGCCCGTTGCCCCATGCCCGGTCCCTGCCGCGCAGGGTGCCGGCCGGGTGCTGCGGGGCGCCCGGGGTGCCTCGCCAGTGCAGCAGCTGAGCCCGGGGGTCCCGGGGCTTGTGCGTGCTCCCCGTGGGGCAGCAGGGAGGAGGGTGGGAGCTGCGCAGCTAAAGGTGGTGGACTGAGCCGCGGCGCTCGCGGCGGCAGGCGAGGGGAGCAGCCCCCCAGGCCAGCCCCTCTTTGCGGTGTCTGTGGAGCAGCATCTGCCCTGGCACAGAGGCAACTGGGAGTGCCCCGGTGCTCAGCACCATCAGCCAGGCCCAGGACCCGCCCAGTTGGCCCAGTTCAGCTGGGGATGCCCAGAGCACCCAGGGGAGCCTACACCATGGCAGGGCACCCATGCAGGCATCCAGCACCGGGTGCTGAGCTCCTCGCTGCCGGCAGCGGGAAGGCGCTGGAGCCAAGCAGGGAAGACGATGCGATGCCGCAGGAGAGCCCAGGATATGCTAATTCCCTGCAGCGTCTCCAGCAGCCGAGCAGACAAAGCCCCCGGCCCCTCCGCCTGCTGCTTTCAGGAGAGCCCAAGGGAGCCCCATCCATCAGTGCAGTGCGACGCTCCTTGCAGCGGCCCCCGGGCTCCCCGGGGCCTGGCGAGGGGCACCCGCTCCTTTGTGCGGGGCAGGACCCCCGCCCTGGAGGGCCTCTCGCCGGCTGTGGGGCCGCCGTGCCGGAGCTGGGGCAGGCAGGCTGAGGATGGGGCTCACAGCATGTGCACCGCAGGCAGGAGCAGACCCCCACCCCGGCACCTCTGGCAGCCCCTCCTGCACCCAGGGCAGAGGCCGGAGAGGGTCCCTGAGCTCCAGGCCCGGAGGACCCCGGCTCTCCCGGTGAGGCGGGCGGTGGCTTTGCCGTAGCATCTCTGCAGCCCAGCCCTGCTGCCCCTGCCCCGCTCAGTCGAGCCCGGCTGCCCCGTCTGAGGACACCCTGCACCCACAAAGCAGCTGGGGAGTGGGGCCGTGCCCCATCCGTGCCTGCGGGAGCCCACTGCGGCTCTGGCTGGCAACGCCATGAGCCGGGGGGCCGGAGCCGGGGTGGGGGGGTCAGTGCACCCCAGAGGGGCTGTGCCCCCGTGGGGCTGTGCCGCCGTGGGGCTGTGCCGCGTGGGGCTGTGCCGCCGTGGGGCTGTGCCACTATGGGGCTGTGCCACTGTGGGGTTGTGCTGCCGTGGGGCTGTTCCCCATGGGGCTGTGCTGCCGTGGGGCTGTGCCACTATGGAGCTGTGCCACTGTGGGACTGTGCTGCCGTGGGGCTGTGCCGCCATGGGGCTGTGCCGCGGAGGGGCTGTGTGCCGTGGGGCTGGGTCCCCGGGGGGTTG